ATGGTCTCACGCCCAACGGGGAATTTACTGGCTGACCGCGTTGCTCGCTGGTCGGCCTCGGAGCGTCGCTTAACCTTTTCCTTTTGCCCTTTTTTCCAGTTTTAGGTTTCCCTTCTTTCGCATTCAAGAGGGGGTATAGATATTTCGAGGTAGATGAAAAAGAATTAGTGAACGAATCAGTTCTTACGCTTGCCCACCCCTGATCTTCATGTGAGTTTGAGATATGCCTAGAGGAAGTTCTGAAAGGATCGTGATGGGCTTAGCAATTGGCTAATCGAGGGCGTCATTAACGGTTGGAACGGCCGGATCTGGCGGCAAGGGCCGTCACCCGCTGCCAAAGGCTCCACGGGCCATTCCAGCCCCAAGCAGCCGCATGTTTAGACTTTCTGCGGCATGGGAATTGGACGGGAAAACAGGGCATTTTGAATTGTTGCTTTTGAATGCTGTTACATCATAGAGTTTGGGCGGCCTCTGGGTTGCGTAACCATGACGATCGCTTCAAGATGCGATGTGGAGGAGGAGGGTATTTGATGGTTTGATTGTCGTCCATTTATACTAGAAGGATGGCTTTCTCGATGCCAATGCCATTCGGAAATTGATCGTAATTCCATGATCCATACATACAGATTCACTTGAGCCATACAAAATTGCCAAAATGGTTGTTCAACACGGCGACGCGCATCACATCCCGGAGCATCACCGGATTCACAAGTAAACCCCCCTCCCTCCTCATCACCTCACCCCATCACATTAACTGACACCGTCATCTCAGACCGGGAGCATGGCTCCCAAGGGACCATCGCATCCATCGCGAGTTCCTCCACCGGGCCACCAAACATGTGGACGCCCACCCGGACAAGGAGCTGACGCCGGCCCTCAAGGAGTTCAAAGAGTTCATCGAGACGACCCCACGCATCTACATGCACTTTATCCTGATGTTCGAGGAGATCCCGAACAAGCCGCCGTATTGGCACGATCCCACGGGGACGCCCCAGATCCGTGACTATCGCCACATGTTGGCCGTGCTGAACCATATTGTAAGGCGGGCGCCGGAGTGGACTGATGCTGCGGAGGCGGTGGGCGTGGTTGGGGTGCCGATGTGTGCTATTCTTGACTATCCGATGGGTACTCCGAGGTACGTTTCTCCAATGGATAATTGTGTGTTTGGTATCATTTTGTGAGCTGGAGGCTGATATTGGGTGAATTTAGCGGACACGCTGCTTTCTTAGATCCCGATGTGAATAGGATGCTGAAGAAGGTGTTGAACGAATGGGGCAAGTTTCTACAGGTTCGTCTATCCTACATTTGTCTCGGTCACTACTTCCAGAGGCGAGAAACTAACCATGAAGTACAGACACCCGAATCAGCCAGTGTTCTTGAGAACCACAAGACAGGTTGGTTTGGTGAGGTTGGAGTCAAGGACCTGATGGAGGTGGCCAACCAGCCTTACTCGACCAACCACAAGTTCGAGGACATGTATATCTGTGATCCCTCGGCGAAGCACTATGGCTTCAAATCCTGGGATGGTAAGTCGACTTGCTCCGAAAACCAACAATCCTGAACATGGTTTCTCCAAGCTATGTACTCCCTTGTATGCTCACCTGTTTCCAGACTTCTTCACCCGCCAAGTCCACGACAGCGCCAGGCCCGTCGCCTCGCCCGACGACGACTCCGTCATCGCCAACGCCTGCGAGTCCAAGGTCTACAACATCTCGCACCACGTCAAGCTCCGCGACAAGTTCTTCGCCAAGGGCCAGCCGTACTCGCTCCTCGACATGCTCGGCCACGACGACCTGACGAACCAGTTCGCCGGCGGCACCGTCTACCAGGCCTTCCTGTCCGCGCTGTCCTACCACCGCTGGCACAGCCCCGTGTCGGGCAAGATCCGGCGCGCGTTCCTCGTCGAGGGGACCTACTTCAGCGAGCCGCTCTTCGAGGGGATCGGCGACCCGAACACGGCGGAGATTGACTCGCGGGGGATATCCCTCGTCCAGGGGTACCTGAGTTCGCTGGCCACGCGGGCCGTCATCTTCATCGAGGCGGACAACCCGGCCATCGGGCTGATGGCGTTTGTGGGGATCGGGATGGACGAGGTGAGCACGTGCGACATCACGGTCAAGGAGGGCCAGCATGTCAAGAAGGGTCAGGAGCTGGGCATGTTCCACTTTGGGGGGTCGAGCCACTGCTTGGTGTTTAGGAAGGGGGTGAAGGTGGATGGGTTCCCCAAGGTTGGGAGGGAGGAGAATGTGCCGGTCAGGGGTAAGCTGGCTGTTGTGCATAAATGAACTGGATGATAGTCCTAGTAATTTGAGGTGATATCAAGCTCGAGGTATATATTGATTGAGTTGAGGAAATGCTGATTTGAAAAAGGATGGTCGCTGGCATGTATGACTTGACTTATAAGTCGGCTCCAAGAATGTGAGAAATATTTGTAATTAGCCACCAATAACGAATTGAGTCCTCTTCCGGTATCCATTGCAATAATAGCAACTACGACAGAGTTTTTGAGAGCAAAAAGAGAGGGAAGGTTACATGTAAGTGTACCAAGAGGCAAAAAGGAATGCTAATTGACCCGACCACGCCAGGAGTCGAACCTGGAATCTCTAGAGGATGGTAAGAACCGAAATCTAGCGCCTTAGCCATTAGGCCACGCGGCCAATTAACGTGACAGGTATCATGGCAATGCATGTACATCAACTTTATGCTGGCTGCCTGTACCACAATTCAAGATTCAAGCTCGCAGTATCTGTTACGTGGGAGTTATCCAATGGTCACACCTGGACGGCGCTTCTGGACGTCATGTCGCACGGCCGAGGCTCCATGTCTGAGTCCAGATGGTGTCCATGAGACATGCAGCAAAGCCAATCAGGTCTGGAAGCACAGGTACCACTCAACGGCGCTTCACCAGTGCTACGTCCACGGAGCAAAGGAGAGTGCGGCCCAACGTCACCCGCGAGATCTCGCCAGTGCAGTGCAGCGTCACGGCAGTCGAGAGCACTAGCGAGGGTGAGTGAGGCCCGGAGGCAGGACGGGCCCCGCGCTAAACAGTGATAAGCTTCGCTCAAAAGGGCCCACCACCTATAACCACCGAATCTCAGTTCCGACTCGACTGAATCCTCAACTCACGCGACAATTCTGCGCAGCCTGGGGGCACCGTCAGCACGCAGAGACGACGCGCAGAGCAGGCATTGACAGAATGGCACCGCCCGCAGCAGCCAGCGCAGACCTGCTGGGCCTGCTCGAGGCCGCGCTCCCCCAGGACAGTCGCCAGGCGCTCCGCTCATCGGTGCTGCCGGCGCTGCTCGACGCCGTCGCCGCCATCGCCCAGACCCTGCGAGGCTACCACAGCGTGTCCGCCGCCGGCACCGCCAATCCCTTTGGCGACGACCAGCTCAACGTCGATGTTGCCGCCGAGAACCTCATCCGCGACGCCCTGGCCCGGTGCCCGTCCGTCGTCACCGCCACCAGCGAGGAGGACCCGGTCGAGAAGCCGGTCCAGCACCTCAACGGGGCCTCCCACGAATCCCCAGAACAGCCCTCTCCCGAATCATCATCATCAGAAACATACACCGTCGCCTTCGACCCCCTCGACGGCAGCTCCATCATCGCCCCCAACTGGACCGTCGGGTCCATCGTCGGCATCTGGGACGGCCGCTCCTCCCTCGGCCAGTCGCCGCGCGAGAAGCAGGTCGCCTCCATCCTGGGCTTCTTCGGCCCCCGCACAACCGCCGTCGTCGCCGTGCGCGTCCCCGGCGGCGAGCCCTCGTGCTTCGAGGTAGGCCTCACCGACGACGGCGTGCGCACGTGCCAGGTCGTGCGCTCCCACGTCCGCCTCACCAACTCCATCGACGGCGTCCGCTACTTCGCCCCGGCCAACCTGCGCGCCGCCGCCGAGAGCCCCCAGTACATGGCCCTCGTCTCCCACTACATCCAGAGCAAGTACACCCTGCGGTACAGCGGCGGCCTCGTCCCCGACCTGGGCCACATCCTCGTCAAGGGCCACGGCATCTACGTCTCGCCCACCACCGAGGCCAGCAAGGCCAAGCTCAGGCGGCTGTTCGAGCTGTGCCCCGTCGCCCTCGTCATGGAGTGCGCGGGGGGCGCCGCCATCGACACCGCCGACGGGGTGGACATTCTGCAACGGCCGCTGGAAAACGCGGACGAGAGGGGGGGGCTGGCGTGCGGGAATCTTGAGGAGATAGAGGTAGCCAAGAAGATGCTGCTTGGCATTTCCAAATGAAATAATATGCCCCAGGCTTGAATGACGTTTATTGTGTCTCTTGGTGTACTTGTTGCTCCCTCATCGTTCTCTCATGCCACCATCCTCTCCATTCTCATCCTGGACCAACAAGTCATGATGATATGCACGTTCATCACTTACATTCCGTCTATGCTACGGGATTGCCGTAACGAGTCAACGGGCTCAAGAGAGGTGGCGAGACATACCAACAATGGTTGCGCCGAGCCTCAAAACAAAGCAACAGGTTCCCTTGCCATGCCTCAATCAATTGATTTCTAGGCAGTAAATGGATGGATCACGGGACGATACTCGAAGGTGTGGTTTTCGAAGCTGCAATTGGTCGTAATGGATAAGGTTGTATTTGGCGATGAATATCCCTTCCCCCTTGCGCAGCCTTCCAACGTCATCACGGTGGCGAACCCTCCAGGATGGAAGTGAACCTTTACATCCCACCAACCTCGCTTCCAGCTGTGGCTGACATGGGATTCAGTAGAGGCAGCGATCAACTACAAACGTTGCCGCGAGCGTACTCATATTTGCAGTTTTCGGCACTCGAGTGTCGTCACCGATGTGCCAAGGATGCCATGATGTAGACAGAATGGTTATGATCAATTCAGACAGGGTTCATGTTTTCGCGGCTATATATTGAGAGCTTTCCACCTCTTCAGACCAGACGATAGAAATCAATCAACCTACACTTTTACAACAAACAACTTTTCAAGAACTTTACCAAATCAAACATTTACAATATAACATCAACATGGCAGCAGGGTAAGCCTAACTAATAGACAGGAAATGCTAGTTGACTCTTTCTCACCCAAATATAGTCATCGCAGACTCTCCTTCACCCTCTCGCCCGCCTCGCGAGCAACCAAGCGAGTAATGGAGCAGCGGAATGACAGGCGCACGTCCGTGGAATCAACCTCCCGCCGCTCGAGCGTGGCGGATATCCCAGTGGTGGAGATTGTTCCCTACTTGAGGGATCCTTCCGAGAGATGGACATGTGCGAACAGGATCGGTTGATATGGGAAGTTGAGGTTTTCATGCCAATAAAGCGATAAATGGAAGAGTTGCCAGTTATATGAAGGAAATTTGAGGAGGCTCATATACGGATTCAGAAAATATCACTCTTTTACTTTCCTATCCTATTTCTATTCCTTCCCAAATTTATCCAGTCCCATGAATTGCAGTCTGGTTGGTATAGATGCTGCCGTGCTTGCTACCCTATATTCATCGACAAATCCGTTAAGGATTCTATCGGTTGCCAATTCTCTCTCAAGTCTAATCTTCTTCAATTGATTCTGAAGCAATTATAGTGGAATAAAAGTGTATGTGCAATTGGGCCAGTTATAATAAATCTGAAAACAAGTTGTTCGAGTTTAGGATTCGGGCGCTCTTTAAGGATGTCACAAGCCTGATGCCGCTGGACCTGACGGACTCCCATTGCTCGGAATGGCAGCTTCTCACGAATGCAATACTCGTGTCACTCGTAAATTCGACAATGTAATACCTGCACTGGGCAAAGTAATGAACTAGAATAGAAGCTGCTCGAGTAATGTTAGATTTCTCCCAAAGGTTGATAGGACACTAACATAGGATAACCGATGGTCAGTCGATAAAATCCAGTGGCTTCTGGCATACAACCGCCCTTATTCTACTCATAAACATAATAGTGAACTGAAATCAAAGAAACAAATCATGAAATGCCCATTGAGTGCAAGACAGTGAGAACTTCAATGCAACAGGATACGCTATTGTTGGGTTCATATGAAAGGTTATCATCGGCTCTAAGAATTGCCGAGGTTCGCGACCGCCGCACCAAAAAGCCGGACGACTCCAAACCATCACTGCGACATCTCCAACACTTGACACGCCACGAGACCTGAATGCGACATCGCGCGGGCGCAATGTCCAAGATCTCCCCGTCGCTCAAGGCGCTCATCAATGCGTCCTTTGCGCACCCAGGCCCAACCGCTGCGCCCGCCGCCCAGATCCGCGAAGCCTTCGTCGACATTGCCCGCGATGCTTCGAGGCGCAAGCTCGGCCCGCGGTCGTGGATAGTCCTCTCCGTACGCCTTCCCCCCTGCCCATTCAAGCATAGGAAATAAAGTCTAATAGGGGAACAGGCTGCCGCCACATTCACCCTCAACTCCCCCGACTCCCTCACCATCCTCCACGACGTCGCATCCTCCCCCGGCCACCACAACCCCAATCCCAGCGACCCCGTCCAGACCGCCGAGCTCATCCGCGAAGTCGGCCTCAAATGCATCAGCTTCAACGGCATCCCCCGCTCCATCAACTGCCTCAACGCCTTCCACGCCTCCCTCCCGTCCGCCGTCACCTCCCGCCTCGCCACCGCACCCTCCCGGGCCCTGTCCCCCGAGTCCCTCCCGCAAGTCCGGCAGCGCGGCGCGGACCTCTGGAAGTCAATCTACCGCCCGCTGGACGAGAAGCTCTACCGCAAGCTGGCGCGCTCGCACCCCGACCTGCCGGTGCACATCCTCGACGCCAACTACGGCCCTCTGCTGGCGGATCCGCCTAATAGGGCTGAGGGAGAGGGCAAAGGGTTGGCGAGAGTGGGGCGGCTTCTCACGTCTGTTGTTGCCATTGCGAGTCTGAGGGCGCAGACGGGGGTGGGACCGCAGGTCTTGTCGCACGTGTACGGGTTGCGCAAGGCGGTCGAGGACGGCTCGTTCAGGGAGGATGTTGTCGCGGAGGGGGACGAGGCGGCGGAGTGGCTGGCGGGGGATGAGGGGAGCGAGTGGATTTTGAGGAGTGTTGATCGGATTGTGGATGTTTTGGGGGGTGGGAATTTTGCGGCGAGGAGAGTGGCCAAGTTGTGATTGCGATGGCGAGGAAAGCCGTCTACGAGGGTGGTGATTCATGAGAGGATCTGTCCGGGAGTAGACACGGAATGTTTTGGAGCTTTTAGCTTTACGAGCGAGATGTTCTGGAGTTGTGATATTGCTATCACGACGTCTTCACGATGGCCGTCAAGGGGTGTACTGTCATCTGGCCTGCATACAAAGGCTACCAATGTCCAATTTAGCCATATAGATACTTGTGATAGAGAACCTGTTAGATATAGAAGCTGCCCTGCGGAATTCCACACTCAGGTTGCAGTTCATACTTCGTTGAGGGGAAATTCTCTTCCTGCATCGAGGCACCTTTCTAGAGGTAGCAGTCAACACGGCAGACTTAATCTGTTCAGTTTACTTCCTGGGTCATATTCTTCTGCGACAGTGTTTCAATTTACACAAAATGAGAGGATTCCTAGTCAAGTGCGCGAAATAGAACATGGCACACCAGAGCTCTTTTCGCGCAAGCCGGAGACCTCATTCTATCATTAATAATATTTCAAGTAATAATAATTGTACAATAATATATTATTGTGTATTGTTTGCCAAGTATAAGACTTGGCCATGGGTCCCAAGATCATCCACAATCAACCATAACACCTTTTCAAGCTCATTATCGCCAACCATATCTCACAACAACAGCGATAATAGATGGATCCGACGTAATCATCCCTTGCAGCCAGGGCCCGGTTGATGCGAGCAACCGGGTCCTTGCGATCAGTGATGATGATTATCAGCGATAACCACCGGGATCTCTTTCCGGATATCGATCATTCGAGCTGCGTCCTGTCACAGACTTGCTCGCGGCGACGAAACCGCTGTCAACCACACAGGCCCAGCAGTTGCACCTGCTAGGACTGCCGCTCTATCTCACAGCCAGCCGAGACATGCAGATAGACCCGACCCTCCCTATGCCTTGGTTGGTTTTAAGGTTGAGTAATAGTATTGGTAGGTACAACTGCTTGACCTGTGTGGTTGACAGCGGTTTCGTCGCTGCGAGGAAGCCTGTGGCAGAGCGCAGTGTGACTCGGATACATATATCGGATATCCGAAAGGAGACTCTAAGGGTCATCACTGATCGCGAGGACCCGGTCGCTCGCAGTAACCGGGCTCTGGCTACAGGGGATGATCACGTTGGATTCATCCATTATCGCTGTCGTTGTAAGAGGTCAAGTCGTTGGTGATAATAAGCTTGGAGAGGTGTTGTGGTTGATATGGATAATGAGTATCCCTCCTTGGGGCCCATGGCCTATTTATATACTTGATAAGCCCTCCTTAGAGTTTTTAGAGATGTTGGTGCCTACCTTACCTAGGCTTTTGTGGAAAAAGTAAAGAAAACAGAGTTAAAGGTTGGGTAGAACTTAGTAAAAAGCTTCGTATAGCCTCGTCTTAGGATAGCCCTTGCATACGGCAAAAACCTAAAAACATATTATTTAGATTGATATTTTGTTTATAATTAGGTTGATTATTTTGATATTGTGTCGAATCTAAGGCTGTATGGAGGCTCTGGTGTGCCATTTGATGTTTGCCACCTACCAACACGAGCTATTTGGCCACTTTCATTTTCCAAAAGCATCCTTGCCCCAATCATGTCGACGAAGGGGTCTGCAGCCTCACGAGATATCGAGTCAATGGACACGAATCCTACCACTGTTGGGCCGGCTACTATCAAATTCACCACCGCCCAGGCGCTACTTCAAGCAGCTCGCCAGTCTTCGAGCGAGGTCATCTATGTTGAAGGTGAGAAAGAGTGAAATGTGTCATGCTATAGTAGTAATATTGTCAATCATAACAATAATACTAATATTGCCAATCATACTAGATGTATCTACAGAGGATTTTGCAAGTATAGAAGAAGAAAAAGGGGAAAGGCCTGCACCTCGCTTAAAGAACTACTCCCCAGCACAGCGCCTACTCATCATCGTAATGCCCATCCTTCGCTATGAAAGAAGCCACTCAACACTTAACAACCTCATTATAAACGAGATGGCAGCTATGGGATTAGAAGATGCTTGGGGCGAGTACGGCCATGCAACTCAACGAGCAGAACATGACGGGGGTGTTGCGGAAGCCGATTCAAGTGGAGGCCCAATGGAGCGCGATGACGATATACACCCTTGGCAAACTCTTGTTATCGAAGCTGGATACTCGCAATCTTTGACCGCCTTGAGACAACAGATGAGATGGTGGTTTGCAGCCTCACAACACAAGGTCAAGATTGTTCTGCTTATAAAGCTAGATCCCCTAGTGCGTGGGAAGATCATCATCGAACAGTGGAAGGAGTTTCCAAATGGAGAACGCGCTGGTGCTACGACAACACGGTTTTGTGCTCGCCTAGAGCCGGTCAACACGCAGCACATCACTATCCAGAAGACTTTGCCTTCTACGGAGCCAGGAGATTACTTGTCGTATGGTGTCACTGGAGGTCCCCTACGACTAAGCTTCGTGGATCTCTTTCTACGTGCGCCCAAGCAAGGGGAGGGTGATGTTGTTCTTACGGACCACCATCTGCAGCGGCTCGCTGCAAGTGTTGGAAGGATCAGATATTGATATCATTTGGATGCCTCCTTTAATGTGGTTGATGGGATGATCTTTTTAGACTGTTGATACATACTAGCAAAGTTGGTGAAATAAAACATGAACATGGCTACCGAAGCTCTATACGCGCAAGGCAGGGACCTCGTTTTTTGCTAAACACAATAAAAGAGAATAATAAACTACTCTGTGATATTCCGCTTGGTATTACATTCAGTGCTAGAATAACTATTCTGATATTGTGTTAAAATCCAACGCTGAACTGTCTCGATGTATGTTTTATCTCGCCTACTTGCTCGTGTAGAAGGGCAAACCTTCCCCGTTGCGAGGGACCACTAAGTTGACCTTGCTTCAATTTGAAGCAAGAGTCCCCTTTCTCATTACACCGAAACAGCCTCACATTTCATCTTCATGAGAGACTTTTAATGGGGACAAGAGAGTAAAACGTGTTTACGAATGGATGCCCTTGCACCGGACGTATCACATGGAGAAGGCACCCACAAGAACTGTTTGATAGACTTGCGTACCACCAGCGAATGTTTCCTCAAACGAGGGATTTCTCACCGAGAAACATTACCTGGTTCCGCCTCCTGTTTGACAGAATGGAGCTGTCGGAGACGGAGATGATTAAACTTCAACCTACGCACCCAAGTGAACGGTCCGTCGTGTCAGAACAATGGGTCTCCATGTGGAGGGGAGGACTCAACTGCGACATTTCGCAAGAGCTGGACGAACGAACGAGAGGAATAATGAAACGAGGACACCACAGACTACGACAAGATACCTCTGACATGTGAAACTAACAGAAACGACGCGCGCCGCTCGAGTTTCGGTGTTTCGCCAGGACCGTGAAAACCCCGATTTTTGTCAACGGGGGTGAATCCTGTAAATCCATCCCGAATCGTCGGACCCGAGCAAAACTCCAGATATAGAATTCCCCATCTTAACCGTTGCAGATTCCCATGTTTGGGCCCTGAACCCTGAGAGAATTCCCATTATCCGGGTCCAAACCCCTCCTGCAATTTGTAGAAATGGGCACCAGGGATATCCCTCTTAGTACCCAAGAGTTGATCTATAGTGGAGGAGCAGAGGGGAGCCTCTGGTTGGATGAAATCAAAGGATGGCTTCCTAAAGCAGCAAAAGTTGGGAATCGAGGAGGATTCAATCCAGGGCCGTGCGCCTCCAAGGGAATTTACACGACCTCCTTCATGGCAGAGGCACAGAACGGCGCAGCAATGCGCGTTTTTGCTGGCACATGGAGAAGACTCCTCTAAATTAATCCTGTTTATCGGGTCACAGGAGCAATAAGCTTCTTACCAGCGAATGCGTGGCACTGTCGACCTCGTGGCTATGTTGGGTTTGCCGAGATGTGCGACCAAAATAACACCCCTGGGAATTATGGAGCGGCGACACTGATGAAACGCCCAGTAGGGTTGCCACGCCTTCTAGGCTATGTGCCGCAAGAGGATGTCAGAACGGTCGAAATAGCAGCTGGGCAAATGAATACTGATTTCAGGGTCTTCGTTGGTGATGGTGAGGGGTGAGTCGATAGCATCTGAAATGCACGCCCGGCCGAGACTGGCAGCCACCGCGGTCTGAACAATGCTGCAGTCCGAGCTGTTTGAGGCTAGAACTTTGAGGAATACCTCGAAGGAGTGAGATTTCAGGGTCTAATGAGCTCTTAGACGACCTAGCAGTGAGCCATTGGATGATTCAGAGCCGGGCTTGAAAGTATAGAACGCCAAGCGCTTGTAAAAATAACACAACAGCGCCTGCATTGTCCGGCTCATGTTGGGCAGCCAATATCGTGACTATGCGAGCGCCTCCAAGCGTTCTAGGCTCGCCTGCGTTCCTGGCTGTTTTGTACGGCTTCATCAACACAATAGTGAGCGCCACAGCTAAGAAGCGGCGTCTGTTCCCACAACACCAAACTTGGCCTCGATGATGAGAGACGAGCAAGATCTCCACGTTCTTACAGCTGCCGCCTCACGATCCACAGCTCGGGCGGGTATCGTCTCCCGCAAAAGTGTAGAGGATGGAGCTGCATCAAGCCGAGCCTCGATATTGCAGCTCTATCTGGGCACTAGGAAGATGGCGATGCATTATTTACCTGCATAGTGCAACATGCTCGATAGCTTGTCCTGACGGTTTTCCTGGGAAAGGGTTCGAGGCCCTCTTGGAATCTGCGGCTCGTTGATTGTGGCTTTTGATCCCGTGAGAGTTAAAGAGATCTAGACCATCCTGAGTCATGGTGCAAGTCCACAACACCAGCAAACTGCTGGAAAAGTGGGTAGCTAGGAACAAATGCGATTGTTCTTGGTCATTCGTAATCATGCCGCCCGTTCTATCTCCGTCGTTGCTGTGTCATGTTGGTAGTTTGCAAGTCTCGTTGCCTGCCTATGGACACCCCAAAGGTGTCTGAGCAGTTCGGCTTACACTGCGCCCAGAGCTAGTGTGACGCCCGCTAGGGAAACGCAATCTGTTGTGAAAGAGATTGGTTGCTGCCTGATCCTGGTGTGATTTCGAGGCTGTGTTCAGGCGCCCGCGGGCATCCGTTGCTTGGGGCAGCCCGACGGTCATACGATTGCTGCAAGGCAAAGCAATCACTGCCTCGGCTTTGTCACTTTTGGATGATGACTGTGTCAACGGCCATTCTGTAGTGAGGTAGCAAACTGCACAGCCGTTTCAGATATTCATAATCATCCGGCGGACCTTGGGTAGGAACATAGGTCATGAGCCTTTGCCGAGAGCTGGCTCTTGTCATTGGGCAGATGAGCAACGCCCGTGGTGACATCTCGAGTGACTAGCAGTAAACTCTAGATGACTGACTGGCCACTTCAGGGATGGCTTCCGGGCGCGGGAAGCGAACCACGAACCTCGCGGACTGGTGGCAAGAATATGTCAAAAACGGTTGCGTAACATGATATGATACTTAGTCCTGCCGGCCCGTCGTCGCATCAGATCCGAACTAGCAATAAGTAATTGAAGGTCTGGAAGCAGGGTCGAGAAATAATTTCATTTCAGGCAGAAAAAAAGGGTACTGAGCCCACAAAAAGGAGGCGACCGTTCTAGATCTTCCACACCATCGTTTAGTGTCGTCTGGATGGCGGTTCGAAGAATGAACCGGGCCGAGCTAGGCAGAATAAGGTGCCGGCGATGATGGGCCGAGCGTCCCTTGGAGAGAGCTTCTTCTGGACCATTCTCTCCTGTCGGATGGAAGACTCGAATGGTGAAGAATATCATTACCTAGTACGTTATCCTGCGACAATCGAGATGCCTGGCGCCGTAATGGAAGACTGGCTCCGGCCACGTCCAGCACAGCAGAGGTAAAATCAAGATTTGCCAGCCGACTGATACCCTGAATTCCGCCACGGGATGTTGTGCATAGCAGCACCCTTGGCGTGACATGGCACGGCATGACTGGACACGGTGATTGGTGGTTGAGGTTCGGCTTGATTAGAGCAGTAGCTTGCTGAGCGGGAGGTGGTATGTCAGTGCCAGGCGGTAACGTAGCAATCCGGCCGACAAATAGTTTGTCTGTGTATGAACACGAACACGCAGAGCTCGATACGGCTCGATGGTGGTGGACGTGGTGGGGGATCGCCAGCATGTCGCAGTGGTGATCTCGATCCTAGCGCACTCCAAGCGGCCAGGGCCACGATGGAGACTGTCTGATACGATGGCCAGAAGAATTACACTACTGGGACTGTCGCTGTGTCAGGAGACTGCCCGGAGCTAGCGTCTTGTGTGTGTGTGTGTGTGCTGCCATGCATGCAATAGCGGCTCTTGGTATCACCCACAGGTTCAGATATGAGGAAGAAGGCCCTTTTTTCCCTTAATGGCCCCGGCTGAGGTCCAGCTCGTCTGGCGAATGGGGGTGTGGCTCTAGGTTCCCGCGCTGGCTTTGTTTCATCGACCTCGATCTGTGGCCTGGGCCGTGCTTGAGATTATTAGGGAGGCCAAAGCAGCAGGAGGAACGGATGGATGCACGACATTTGGTGAAATTATGCCGAGGGATGGCGGATGGTCGTGTGCGTGCCCACCTCGCAGAGCGACCAGGTACGGTTGACGCGGCCGCGGAAAAGCAAGACTCATGTGTGTCTATGTACGTGGATGTTGGGTGGTGAGGAGCATCGCTTGAGACACGCGCTGCACCAGTGACGTTGGATGGCTGTTCAGAGCGCAGGAGGGTGTCCGGGCATTGCGTGCCCTCGGGCAGTCTCGCGATAAGAGAACCACAGACAGCAGCGCACTGCAACGCCAATCCACGTCGCGGTGAGGCCATCCCCAGATCGCGCGCTCAAATCGTGATGGCGGCAGGAAATGAGCTGAGCGGTGGTGCAGCAGCAGACGGGGTGGCCAGTGGTCTGATAGGGTCTGATAGGCCTGTGGTCCTTTGCCCCTTCAGGCGCTGCCGGGCCTCTGCTGCCCCCTTCGCGGACCCTGAAGATCGAGGTTTGGCAGCTTCATCAGCTGGCCCATTTCTTCCGCCTCCGTGATAAAGCAATGATCGTCTCCCCACGTTTCCGCCGACCGCGACAGGCCGGGCTCTCGGACTGCCAGACTCAGACATACGACAGACGTGTGAGAGACAGTCGGCGGCCAGTCTCAGGTCGATCATGCAGCTATCGGGGCAGCCAGCTTGCCGCCTGCTTAATTGCCTGGGCGGAGCCTTGGACTCCGGCGCTGCTGCCCACAATTCCAGGTCCCAAGCTGAAGAATCTCCATCTCCATTTTCCCAGGCCAGAGTATCCATTCCATCGTGAGCCCACAAGCCGATGTGGAGTAGGGAAAAGTTTTTTTCTTCTCTACCCTTTCTGTTTGTTGTCCTTTTCTAAGGTAAGGTGCTACGTAGGACTGACCCAGCAGGCACTTGATGCCAAGCATGACATGTGTTGGGCAACATGGGCGCAAATGGGTGACGGGCCGGTGTCAATGCGAACGCCTGACTGACAGGCAAAAGGAAACAAATCAATGGCGCTAGATCTCCGGTGCAGCCTGTCTGTCTGTACGGG